TTGTATGCAATTTAATTTTTTTGGATTATTAGTTGAGCTCATTAAATAAAAACCTTTCGCCCTTATTGCTTGTGGTACATAGTTGCCGTTGCCATTCATTTCTCGTCAACATTCTATAAGATTTAAAGACTTTACTTTTTTGTTTCTAATTATTATATACTTCTCCAGTTGAGCTAGCCTACTGTAAATTATGTATATCTTATTTACTCCTCTATATATATATCTCAAATTTTATTTTATTTTTGATAAATACGAGACCGTTTGGACATAAGAATTTTTTTTCTTTTTTTAAAAAAAATTTTACTTTTTTCCGAAATCAGCGTTTGTTCGTAAAATTTTTAATTTTCACTTGAAGATGCATTTTCGAAAATTTGAAAAACTCAAAAAACTGTTTATCAAAATTTTCACTCACTCACAAAACTTAAAAACAACCCAAAATTATATTCATGTCCAAATACAACTCTAAATTTCCAATACCATTTTTACTTGAAAAAATTTTTCACCATGTTTTGGAATTGTACAATTCTTATGTCCAAACGCCCACTATATCATATGACATAGTCGATACAATTTATCTTCACCAATACAAATTATTTATTTATTTATTTATTTTTTGGAAAAATGGAAAGAACTAAAGAATATGGAGCGAGGAAAAGAGAATAAAACAAAGATGAGTAGTAGCAGCCATGAGAAAAATAGAAAAAGAGTGAGGTTTAGTACTCTGCTCGTACTAAAGGTAGAGGGAGAGAGGAGAATGAGAAAAAAAGTAAACGATATAATTGAATCCATTAGATGAAGGCACTACCTAATAGGTTAGAAATCATTTAATGGGGAATGTATACAATTTAAAAAAAATAAAGTCAATTTCGATAAATATCAAAAATTAGTTATATCGGTTAAATAAGTTTAGCATTTTGTATGTCCATAAAAAAAAAAGAGAATCTTGCATAAATATCTCAAATAAGTTTTAACTTACCAATCTCTAGCCATTAATAATAAACCTATCAAAACTAGCCAAGCATATATAAAAATTAAAAACCCAAATAAATAAGGTTCTTTCTCTACAAGGATCACATGCAAAGATATCCTTCCATATTCTTAAGCGTGGTCAGCAACATTAGATGCATGACGAAAAAAAAATTTCATGGATGAGGCAGCAAATATAGAGATGAGTCAATATACAAGTTTTGAGGAAGAATATTGGAGGTGATTTGGCATCAAAATTCGTAATAAAAATCGAGTTCAAAAATTCTTCTACGAGACATGTATCAAACATGTATTATGCATATGTCACACACACAATTATACATGTGATACACATTTAATACAAATGTGATACATATGTGATACACAAATGATACACATATCATTTTTTCATGTTTTATCTTCCACTTTGAATTTTCAGTTCAAACTACCTCAATACTCCCCCAAATCATCCAAAACTGATATTCAAACTCCTTAAGATGTACCCAAACTATTCTAATAATACCCACTCAAAAGAAAAAAAGATTTGACCCTTTTTTGGCTACAAATAGCTAATTGGTTAATATTAGTTACATTTGGCTAATATTAGTAATATTTAATGAATTGGTCAATTTTTATAATAAGCTACTTATAAATGGACATAGCTCGTAGTTTCCCCGACAAATTCCATGTAATTAAACTGACAAAGCTAGGCCTAAATCCACATTTACTAATACTTAGTAAGTACTCCCTCCGATTCATTTCAGTTTATGTATCTTACTTTCTTTGTTAGTCTGTTTCAAAAAGAATGCTTCTTCTTATATTTTGTAACTCTTTAACTCTAATTTTTCATATAACATACTTAAAACCACAAGATTCAAGGATATTTTGGTACATTACATAAATCTTTAAGTTAAAATCATAATATTTAAATTCTTTTTTACTTTTTAAAATTCTATGTCCAAATAAATTAAGATACATAAATTAAAATGGAGGAAGTATCATTTATCGAGCTGTCCCAACTGTGCCAAATCTTGTAGTAGTAAAAGAGAGAAGGGAAGAACGGAGCCCGAAACATAAGCAAAAGAGGACGCGCATGCACATGCATGGGACGCCCTAGAATTAACAGGCGCGCGTGCCTTTTTATTTTATATTAGTACTCATCTCTCTCTAATATCCTACTACTATCATTTTTATTTTGCTCCAGAAAACGACAGCTTCTAAAAGGCAAGTTAGCAATCCATACAGTATTTTAAAGAAAAATTAACTTAAATAATTAATTGCCTATAATAGGTAGATATATAATGTATGTATAAATCAAATATAATATGTGTATAACCTTGTATAATGTATATATTGGCTATAAAAATAAATTGTGAATCAGATACGACTCTTTCGGTAAAGATCCTATTTTTTTTAACAGAAATATTATCTGTGATTTTTAAAAATAGCCAGATTTACAACTGATCGTTCAAAAATAGCCCAATTTCAAAAGTAATGGAAATTTAGCCACTTTTTACGTAAAGATAAATCTGAGCGAAAGTACTGTTCAAAACCCGGAAAATACTCCAGTATATTATGCTGGAGTTCTAGCATAAGTATACTTGAACTCCAGTATACCAGGATAGTATGCTGGAACTCCAGCATAATATGATGGAGTTCCAGCATAAATACATTAGAACTCCAGCATAATATACTGGAGTTCCAGCAAGTATAATGGTCCAGTATAATATACTGGAGTTTGGAGCACCAGTGCTCCAGTCTTCAGTATATTATATTGGAGCCAGCAAAGTATACCGGTCCAGCATAATATGCTGTAGTTCATACACAAGTGCACCGAACTCCAGTATATTATGCTGGACCGGTCTCTATTGCAGCAAAATGGTGGCTATTTTTCATTGACTTGGTACACGCTGGCTATTTTTGATTGACCGGTCCGAAAACTGGCTATACCGTGAAATTTTGGCAATAATTATCCAATTCCCTTATGACATATTTATAAACTGACAAACTGGTCGGTTAATTTTATATAAAGGAATTTTTACTCCTATAGCAGAGGTTAACACCTTATTTATTTTAAATAAATACTATTTTAAAAAATTATATTCTATAGATACATTTTAATGTTTATAGTAAAATATCTAATTTTGGTTACCTCCTACCCCTAAGCCACTAAATACGCTATTCAGTTACACTATTTTCTTTCTCTCTCTACTTTGATACATGTCATTCTCTTCCCCCATTCCCTGAAAACACGATGCCCAATCTAATTCACTTCTCTCGGCCGCACCACCTCTTCTCGCCTTCCTCCTCCTTCCGACGCCACTTCTGTCGTTCACCTCCGCTTCCCCCGCCTTCTGCTACCTCACAGATGGAAGCTCAAAGATTGTGTTTTGGACTTTACTCCACTTTATTCACTTCACCAATTAAAAACCAAAAAATTCCAATCTTTAAGATACCATCTTTTTCTTACACTTCACCAAATAATCTTACCCTTAAAAGGGTTTTTCTTAAAACCCCATTTTTCTTTTGCTCCTAAGAAAATTTCCCAGTGTACAAATTGTTTGCAAGGAATAGAAAGAGAATCTATTACAGTTCCTTGCGGCGCCTCTGATTTCTAGTTGTGTGCTAGGGTTTTTTCATTCTTTTCATTTGTTTTAATGAGTTACAGGGATATTCGGTGAAGAGAAAGAGAGAGAGAAAGGCGAAAGAGTTGAGGGTTTTTGCTCGACGGTGGATTCGCCGGAAATTAGGGTTTGTTTTTTAACAAAGACGACGAAGTTTGTGGCTGAGCAACTTGATTTTCTGTTAATATATTTCAATATATTTTTAACGTATCACGCTGTATTTTCATGTATTTCATTGTATTCATTGTCTTTTTTTTTTATTGCAATTCAATGTATCTCGCTGTATTCCATGTATTTCATTGTATTCACTATCTTCTTTTCATTGTATTTCAATGTATCCCGTTGTATTCTATGTATTTGATTGTATTCACTGTCTAGCTATATGCCATGAATATATTCATATATTTTTTTAATTAATATAATTTATGTATTCAGACGTATTATATATTTTTTTTCTGAAGATTGCTATATTTTTGGGCTTTTTTTCGGTTGAGAATCTTTTTTATAACTGAAAATACAAAATTTGTGTGTTATAATTGAGTTTGTTGAGTTATATTAGGAGTCTATTATGTTAATTGATTCACTTTCCGTTTAAAAATAGTGTAATTCCCTGTTTCACGCCGTGAATACAGTCGAATACAATAATCTATCCAGCGGTAATCCCATATTTCACGCCATGAATACAGTCGAATACACTCGAATACAACAACTGATTCGCTGGACTTCCCTGATTCATGCCTATTTTTGTTTCTGTATTCATGAACACAGTAGCTTAAATACATCAAATACATCTTATAACAACAGAAAAGGTATCTACAATCCGTAATATAGCAAATGATATATATAGATAGCTAATTACTACTAAAAGATAGTGCTTTATGAAAATTTCTGTTATATAAATCCAATTATCCAAAAACCATGAAAAGAAAAATCAGAATCGCAAATGCCCTTAAATATAAGAATTTTACTTATATACAATAACAATACAAATATAACATTATTATATATTTTAATATGTTATAATAGGTAAACTGCTTTATATTTCAATAGGTCCTTAGTTATTTTATTCGTGAACCATATATAATTGTCTTTTAGTTATAGAGTAATTTTTTTTATACTTTCAATATATCTATCCATAGTTAATCTTTAAAAATATAATAGTAATAATTTGGAATGAGGGTAAAAGCTAAAATAACAACAAGCTGACACAAAGAACATCTTGGGAAGCGAGAAAGAGGAACACCTAAAGCAAAGAACTTTAGAACCCCCAGAATCAAGTGTAATTCTAATTCCTATCTGTCTTCAAACCCCAAGTAAAGAATAACAGAAACCAGAGGAATCCCCCCCCCCCCCCTCAAACCCCCCAACCCCTTATAAACATTATGCACTATAAAATTAGACATAGAAAAGCTAAAGTTTCAGTCTTTGTATTGGAGACTGGAAACACTCCTCCCACTACCCCACCCCCCCTCTAAAACTCCATCCTTCAAGAAGCTCATAATTTCAGTCTCTCTCTCTCTCCACTTAATTCCTTCTTCATTTTCATTCAAAATAAAAACAAAAATTAGTACTACATGTCTTGGTCATAACTCAATACAGTAGTATTTATTTGCCCACAGCCCACATGGAGTTAAAATTAAAACTCTAAAAATAGGCGCACAACACAACCCATTCTTGTACATTTTATATTACCTCATGCCTGGGAGTTGCTGTTAGTCAGAGAAGACTCAGAATTAGAAGGAGGAAAGAGAAGAAGGGAATTAATTCCATTCTATTTTTAAAAAAATTTTGTTTTAGAGTTTTGAGAATTCTTGGAAATGGTGAAAAGAGTGATGAACATGTACTAGGCCTTTGGTTTCTTGAATTCTAGTTCTTGTGCTGGAAATTATGGATTTGCTGGAACTAAATAATTGGTGTTTTCTTCATCATTACACAAGAAGACAATGCCAATATTGTACACAACAAATACAGACAGATTTAAAGGAAGAATTACAAGAAGAAGAAACAAGAAATTGTTCCAATTCCACAAGAGTTGCTATGGCTTCTAGCTGTTCCAAAATTTCACCAATCATTTCCATTTTTGTTTTCTTTCTCTTCTTTATCTTCTCTGTTTGTCCTGTTTTGTCACTAGAAATAGAAAACTTCAACTTAGCCAACCAAACATTTAAGCCAGGTGATGAACTTCAGAAGATGAAAATGATTAAATCTCATCTCATGAAAATCAATAAACCTTCCCTCAAGACAATTCAGGTATTGCCAAATTTCCATTCTACTCCATTTCCATTTTGTCATTTTTTTTTTAAATTGTCTTATTAAATCTTTGAATTGTGATGCAGAGTCCTGATGGAGATATTATAGATTGTGTATTATCTCATCAACAACCAGCTTTTGATCACCCTCATTTGAAGGGCCAAAAACCATTGGTACTACTCCAATTATGACTCTCATTTTAACTTGTATTTTTTTTTTCTTCAAGTATTTGGTGTCTGAAATTCACTGGTTTAATAATCCCGATTCATCCATTCCGGAAGTTTTAGCACGTTTATTTATGTGGCTCGACCCGAGATCTCTGGTTAAGTAAATTCTATCATTTATGGTGCTAACGCAGATTAGTCGAACCAATGAATTTCAAATGTCAAGCAAATTAAAGTTTTACCATTCCACTACACCTTTAAAAATGATTTTTTAAACTTGTATTCAAGATTTCAAAATGTTAATGATTTTGAATATCTTCTCCTATATTGTAGGAACCACCTGAGAGGCCAAAAGGGCACAACTCAAATTCCATGGAATTCGAAAATTTCCAACTTTGGAGGTTGTCGGGAGAAACATGTCCAGAAGGAACAATTCCAGTACGAAGAACAAAAGAACAAGACATTCTAAGAGCTAGTTCCATTCGAAGATTTGGTCGAAAAATTAGAAGACCAATTCGTAGAGACACTACTAATAATGGCCATGAGGTTTGTGTTTTTCTTAACTTGTTTTAGCTTATTTCAAAAACTTATGCTGGATTTATTTTCATGTTAAACTATTCTATTTTCAGAATAATATTTCAACAACTTTAAGTAATTTTTTTGTATGTGGTTGCTTTAATATGTTTTTCTCATCAAATGTTTGTTAGGTTACTATTTTTGGTCTATGCCGACTTTGATGTTTTTTCCCTTTTCCATATTTCACTAATTTCCAAAGGCCTTTGCTTTGTCAATCTCCATTCATCTATTTCTACATTCAAATAATAGTCCAATAAACTTTATCATCAAAAATCAAGATTTGCAATTTTGAGATGCCCCATCTATTCCTCCTCCTCATAAAATAAAATATTTATATATTTAAATTATTTTTCCTCTTAATTTTCTTAAAAGAGCCTCTTTTTTTCGCCTCTTACATTTTGTTTCTTTTTCTATTTTGGAAAAAAAAAAAAAAAAAACAGCATGCAGTAGGATATGTAACTGGAGAGCAGTATTATGGTGCAAAAGCAAGTATAAATGTGTGGGCACCTAAAGTTACCAACCAATACGAATTCAGTTTATCACAAATGTGGGTTATTTCTGGTTCATTTGGTGATGATCTCAACACCATTGAAGCTGGTTGGCAGGCATGTTCTTATTTCTTTCTTCACTTTATATACTATGCGTCCATATAATATAATCTAAAATTTTGTTACAGTATACAAAATATTTACACTATCAAATTAAGTTGACCTATAACAACATGTATTCTCGTATCAAGCCTGATATATTAACTTAGAGAATAGTTTTCTATCTTTTTCTAGTTCTATTTGATCCTATTAGAAGGCATAACTGGTAAAGTTGTTGTCATGTGACTATGAGGTCATGGGTTCAACCGTGGAAACAGCCTCTTGCGTAAATGCAGGGTAAGACGGCGTACAATAGACCCTTGTGGTTCGGCCTTTCCGCTGACCCCGCGCATAGCGGGAGCTTAGTGCACTGAGCTATTTGATCCCATTAATTGTTTATTTTCCCTAATTTATTCAGAAGAATTTTTATAAAAATGGCAGACTTAAATGTTTTAAGATATTTTTGTAAAATTTTGAAGTTTCACCCGTAAGTCAATTCCTTCATAGTGAATCATATACATTAAGATTTTATTAAGAAATATAATTGAAGAAAATTTAAATTGGCGAAGATATTGATTTTTCAGTACTTTTTATGGAAAACGCGGTTTCTCCGATTTAAATGTGAAATGTACTCGAAAGGGTGGATAGTACTCAAAGAGTGAACCAATTTCTTTATTTCATTTAAAGCATCCATTAAACTTTCAGCTACCTTTCAAAATCAAAGAATCGATATTATATTTCTTTTTCTGCTGTGCAGCAATGAAATTAATTAAGATAGCTAAATTATTTCATTTAATTACAACAGGTAAGCCCAGAGCTATATGGGGACAATTATCCAAGGTTCTTCACCTACTGGACTGTAAGTTTTTACATACTGCATTTGTATTTCTTTATCCTTATGATAATTAACATAAAACAACAATCTATTAAAATCAAAAATACTATTTCTTTAGCACTAATTTGTTTCGAATTTTGTTTTTTTAATGATTTATACAGAGCGATGCATATCAAGCTACAGGATGTTACAATTTGTTGTGTTCAGGATTTGTTCAGACCAATAATAAAATAGCAATTGGGGCAGCAATTTCTCCAACATCCTCTTATAATGGTGGCCAATATGATATCAGCATCTTGATTTGGAAGGTAATTACACTTTTATTTATTAAAGAAAAGAAATATTTTAATTTTTCTTTCCTAAAAACTTTGCCGTTTTTCCATAAGAATGTTAATTAAATTTTCGAAAAACCAATTAATTAATACATTTAAGAAATTTTCTTTCAACCGAAAACGAAGATGATCATAATTGAATCAATAAAGTATGAATCATTTGCGAGTTTTTTTTTTTGTTCAACCAAACCCCTTTCTTTGGCGCGTTTTCGGTAATTCGAATTTTAGAATCAATGGTATTGTCTTCTCTCTTTTTTTATTTTTTTTTCCTTGCTTTTTTATCTTTTCTTCCTACTTGTTTCTTGTATTTTTATTCTAAGCTAGCTAACTTAGTTTCTTCAGTTGAGGTCCAATGTTAAAATGCTTCATTTAAATGGGTATTTACTTAATCGTGCAGACAGAAAATGGTTCTGAATTATTCATTTAATAGGTTGTTCATAAATAAATAAAATATAAGATTCGCAATTAAGATAGGGAGAAAGGCAAAAAAAAAAAAAAACATTTGACATGAATTTACATCATGCTTGCATGTGTGTGTATGTATATACCGAAGGGAAATCTTAAAGTAACATTCATCGTATATTATTTAGTGGAAGTAATCATTTTGTTTGTGCTTTTTTTTTTTTACCCTCCACTTTGTAAGATTCTCTTGACTCTTCTTTCCCAAGCAAATTAAAGCATTCTCTGACCCATCCACTTGTTAATATTTTTCACTTTGCCCCCCACTTCATAATTAGCTCTCAAAATGTCATCCTTTGACTTAAAATTTGAGGAATTCCAATTAAAATGCTATAAACAACATTATGGCTGCATGTTTCGTTACACCTTTTCCTCTATTTAGCTATATAAATAAACCATCTCCATTAACTTCTTTTCTTTCTCTTTCGTCGCAATGAGTGTATTTCAAATACCCCTAGATGATTTATCTGATTTCAAAAATAATTAATTCCCCTTATTCCTTCCCCTAAAACCTCTATACATTGGATCGTTAGTGAATTAATTATAGTTGACTAGACTAAAAACTTACTATATATGAGGATATAAACGGAAGATCGAACTGTTAATTGTTGGGGTATTATCACTTTTAGCGTGCGCCAGAAATTATTTACATCTGGTAGCCAAAAAAGTGTATAAAATTTGTATATAACATACAGAATGTATATATGTATAAAAAATATACAAATTTTATACATTTTTTTCAGCTATTATTTTTATAGCGGCTACACAATGTCATTTTGTAATAACTTTGATTATATATATGCAGGATCCGAAGCATGGACATTGGTGGCTGGAATTTGGATCAGGAGTATTGGTAGGATATTGGCCATCATATTTATTTACACATCTTAGGGGTTCAGCAAGTATGATACAATTTGGAGGTGAAATAGTGAATAGTAAAGGAGGGAATGGATTTCACACATCCACACAAATGGGAAGTGGTCATTTTGCTGGTGAAGGTTTTGGAAAAGCTTCTTATTTTCGGAATTTACAAGTTGTGGATTGGGATAATAGTTTAATACCATTGTCTAATCTCAAAGTCTTGGCTGATCATCCTAATTGTTATGATATTCAAGGTGGGATTAATCGTGTTTGGGGTAATTATTTTTATTATGGAGGACCTGGAAGAAACCAACGTTGTCCTTAAACATCATTTTTTTTTTTTTTTACTTTTTGGTTCTTAGTTTTGGGTGTACTTTTTATTCTTTCCATTGTATTCTTAAGCCTTAAAAGTGGTCAATTAAATCAGTTATACCACCTTTAACTAGGGGAGTCGTGTAAATTTTGGCAAAGAGATTAATAGTGAATATAATATAGTATGTTTTTTGCTGTGTTAATTAATTTTCGCTCATTCGTATTTTTTCCCCCTATCATGAAGAGTGAGATTTTCCAATTAAATGTTGATGCTTAGCTTGTAGTAATTTGATACATATTCCTTGCGTCATGACATAAGTGACACTTCCTGCTTTCCGAAAATCAAACTAAATGACTGACTGTTAGATGTTTTATTCACCATTAATGAGAGAATATTACAACTTATAACTCTTTTTATGTAAATATTTATTTAGAAAATGATTTTATCTATGTCCAATTTAACTCTAAAAGTAGGATAATTGGCTTTCAAAATAAAATGAAAGTGACAAATAACTAGAGACATATGGAGTAAGTGTTTTCAGGCCGAAAGGGTAGGCGGTCCAAGGAACAATTGTATTACGTACCCACACCAGTAATCAAGTAGTAGTAATTATTGTTAATCAGTTTTATCTTTTTGACAAAGCTAAAGTTAGAAATTCCAAGAGCCAACACATTGTCATAGGAAATTTTACCATCAATTAGCCTTTAAGAAATGGTAAGAGAAGAGGATGGCAGAAAACATACTTAAATAGGACTACACTTTGGTATTCACTCAAAGTGTGGCAGGCTCATTATATCTTTACTTGATGTACAAGCAATTCTGTAGAACTTAATTAATTAATGGAAGATTGAGTAAGAGTAAAGTAACTCCTACATATTGTACGCCTTTTAGACCGAAAATGATAATTTATTAGAATAAATATTCCTCTCGTAAAGTACTTAATTTGTTTGAATTGGGAGAGTGAACTCACACAACAAAAGGTACAAGGACTACTTCTAAACTACAAAATCAAGAAAAAAACACTTACCAATAATAATCAGTACAATTACACAATACTTGAGAAGTTCTTCAATACGACGGTCGATATCTGTTCAATTTATATCAGATAATGGCTTGCATAGTGGCATATACAAAAGATCAAGACTTTTAGAGGACCTTACACTTTGTGAATTTGAATTAGTTGGGTCCCAATGTTGAATTGGATACAGGGTGGGAACTTAAACCAATATTATTTCTTTTTGGAAATAAAATAAATTTATCGGCTTTTTGTATATTAGTTGTAGGATTTTGTTTTTGTTACTCTTAGGTAGGTGAAGAATGCTAAAATATGTAGGTGGCGGCATGCAGTGTTGAATCTGATAGATGTGATAATTTTATTTTTTTCAATTGGAGCATTAAGGCTATATATTGATAGATGCCATTAACTGTTCTTCTGCTGCTTCTTAATGAATCCAACAACTTTCAGAGATTGTGATGAATGAAAACAATATTGATCTCAAGTTCTGATATGTGGCAGACTCGTTTTTGGGAGGGCCACTTGAGAAGCCTTCAATTTTGCCATTAAAACTTGGAAAAAAAAAAACTTTGACAACGAATGTGAAAGAAGGGTCGGTACAACTGGGGACTAGAGATATATAATAATCATTTCATGGGGATATGGAGGATGACATTTGTTGACCTTTGTTATATAAATTGTGATGAATTACGACCTAGTGTGCAACCAAGTGGGAAAATATTGAGAGATTAATATTTAAATCACATCATAAGCAAAAGATGCTAGATGAATCCTTTTCATTTGTTTAAGTGTTAGTAGGTAGAGCTTTCGATATCTGAATATAGCTAGTGCTAGATTGAATAGTCGAAGTGCATACTTGCACACGAGCCAAATAATAAATACCATTGCTAACTTAAATAGCTGTCTATTCAACTGTTTAAATTAAAATAATCAGCAAATATATACATATATAATTCATGTGCATAGTTATTATATAATCTATGCGTACTAGCTAGAAAAAATAAACAATGAATTCCGATGACTATTTGTGTAAATATCCCTAAAATAAATAGATTAAGTAGGCATTTAATTTGGACATGAATTCCAAAAAAAAAAAACTCAAATTTGAAATTTCACTAATATCTGAATTGAAGATGAAGTTGTGTTTGGTTATTATTTTTGCAAAATATTTCGATGTCTTTTTTTCAAAATCATGAAACATGATTTATACCCCACAACTTGTAAAAAATATCAAAACTACCCCAATTTGATTATCCTTCTTGAAATAAACAATCAAGCATGCTATTGTTTAACCGTTATCATATTCTATTTTACGGCAATACACAGAAGATGCAAAATCAATATCACATTTTCTAACATAGTCCGCTTCCCACTACTATTACCAGTGTTATCAAACATGTAGGTTAATAATTGATGGGGTCATTTTATAAATTTTAAAAGTATAAGGTAAATTTTCAAATTCTCATTTTCAATTGAAAAACTGGTAAGATTTTGATAACCAAACCTTATTTTCAAAAAAAAAATTGGAAAAAAAAGAAAATTTTTGTATGTCCAAACGGGCTCTAAATTGTGATGGGCCATGGGCCAATGTTGATAGATCACATTTATACCTACGAAAGTTCCATCAACTCATATCTTGCATTTGAGGGTGACTTCTCATACGTATCTTTGCACATATTAAAATTAGTTGTATGTTGGACATTCAAGATATCATCAATGTCCACGTTCTCTAGAACATATATAGGGAATAACGTCATCAGCTAGAAAATTCTATTAATCTGATTTCATTTGGATATTTTCATTTACACGATAATATATGACATGGACAATTAGTAACTCCTATCTATATGTATGGACTAAAATAAAATTGTGTAGAAATTTGACCACAAGATTGATAAAATTTGAACTCAAATTTCAATAGAGAGGCAGACTGTTCACCTCATCAAATTAACTCTCAAACAGTAACACTGCAAATTTGTATTGAACTTATTCCTAATTAGTTGAATAAAAAGATATGTGCTAACATTTTCTAAAAGAATCTTGAGTTCTATTCTCTCTAAAGCAAAGATAAATTTACTATTTAGATGACGGTTTATAGTGTCTCCAACTGTAATGATAGAACTATATATTGGTTTTTTTTTATGTGTCGTATGAAGTGGATCGGAGGGAAATGAAAAAATTCAACATATAAGCTTGATATGTAACCAATAACAAGGCATATCGCTTAGTAGCTTGAATGCCGGCAATGTCTTTGCTCATTATTTGCATATTATCAACATATAAGCAAACAATGACTATATGATTTGGAACGTTCTTAATGTAAACACATTTATCACATTCATTAATCTTAAAGCCATTTGACAACATTGTTTGGTCAAATTTCGCATGCCATTGCTTGGGTGCTTGTTTTAGTCCATAAAGGGACTTAACAGGTCGGCACACCTTCTTTTCTTTTCCCGGAACCACAAACCCTTCAGCTTGGCTCATGTAAATTTCTTCCTCTAGATCACCATTTAAGAAGGCTATTTTTACATCCATTTGATGGATTTGAAGACCATACAAGGCGGCTAACGCTATTAGCATCCGAATGGATGTAATTCTTGTTACCGGCGAGTATGTGTCAAAAATAGTCAAGACCTTCTCGTTGTCTAAATCTTTTGACAACAAGTCTTGCCTTGTATTTGTCAATAGTACTATCGTCTTTCATTTTCTTCTTGAAAATCCATTTAGAACCCAAAGTTTTGTTACCTGGAGGAAGATCAACCAATTCCCAGGTGTGGTTGCTCAATATGGATTCTATTTCACTATTGACAGCCTCTTTCCAATATTTTGCTTCTGTGGAAGACAATGCTTCCTTGAAGGTTCGAGGCCCATTTTCTAGCAGGAAAGTCAGAAAATCTGGACCGAATGAAGTAGATGTTCTTTGACGTTTACTTCTTCTCGGATTTTCCTCATTAGGCATACCATCTGTTGTTTCCTCCCGAGGTCGTTTTGACTTTTGGTAAGACAATTCACTTTCCTTTTTATAGGGATAAATAGTTTCAAAGAATTCAGCATTATCTGATTCTATTATTGTATTAACGTGGATCTCAGGATTTTTTGATTTATGAACCAGAAAACGATATGCCTTGCTATTGGTTACATATCCAATAAATACACAATCAACCGTTTTTGGACCTATCTTAACCCTTTTAGGTTTAGGAACTTGTACCTTAGCTAAAAACCCCCACACTTTGAAGTATTTCAAGCTAGGCTTCCTTCCTTTCCATTTTTCATAAGGAATGGACTGTGTTTTACTATGAGGTAAACAGTTGATTATTCGGTTAGCTGTAAGTATAGCTTCCTCCACAAGTTCTGTGGTAAATCAGAACTTATTAACAACGCATTCATCATTTCTTTCAACGTTTGATTCTTTCTCTCCGCAATTCCATTAGATTGTGGAGAGTAAGGGGCAGTTGTTTGGTGAATAATGCCATTTTCCAAACATATTTCTTCAAAAGGAGATTCATATTCGCCACCCCAATCACTTCTTATCATTTTGATCTTTTTGTTTAGTTGTGTTTCAACTTCACTCTTGTATTGCTTGAAAGCATCAATTGCTTCATCTTTACTATTAAGTAAATAAACGTATTGTTAGATATGTGTACTCTTTTTCCTTTTCTAGAATTTTTTTTCCCATTGGGTTTTATTTTATTGACTTCATGTCGCAAATATCTGTGTGAATTAAGTCTAAAGGACTTGAATTCCTTTCAACGGACTTATAAGGATGCTTAGCATACTTTGATTCCACACATATTTGACATTTGGAATTATTGCAATCAAATTTTGGCAATACTTCCAAATTTATCATTTTTCGCAATGTTTTGAAGTTGATGTGACCTAGGCGTGCATGCCATAAAGTGTTTGACTCAAGTAAGTAAGAAGNAAATTTTCTGGACGTTTGGTGTAACAAGGACTTCTGCTCATGATTGATAATTTCATCTTTCTAATTGTGCAAAGTATAGAAACATACCTGAACTTTCTCATGAGCATATATTGATGAACCAGGTTCTTCAAGTAGAACTTCTCTTGATTATGCCTCAAATGTCAGAATAGAAAACTTTGTAAGAGATCAGTGAGTCATATAAACACATGTCACATGAGTAAACTAGTTAAAGTATGAGACTGAGTAAGAATTAGTCTAGATA